TGCGTACTACAGATCTGTGCTACACGTGTACCATCTATCTTTCAAATGATAGGATATGTTCCGTATAAATCTAGTACAGATGTCCCAGCCGTTATGGATTTCATGTATCGAAATAGCCCGAGTTTTTAAAATGACAAAACTATAAGCCAATCGGGAATGAAATTTAACAATGTTGCTATGAAAGTACAATCAATCAAAGTAGGCAGAGCATTGTAGAAAATGTTAACGAAAGGTTAACCTGTGCCACCTTTCAAAGTAACCAATGAACTCGTCCATGGATGCATTGACGGTCGTTGTAACAAGAATAGATATGGGTTACCCCATATCCAAGAGATTCGACTTTTAATTTACTCCAATTTTCACAAAAAAAAAACTGCACATGTTATGAAACTGGTGTATCCCTAACAAAAAAATACTATAGTAAACTATAGTTAACTATAGTTTACTATAGTTAACTATAGTACCAAAGTAAAAACTTCGGAACTTTGATTTACTATAGTGAAAACTTTGGAACTTTGATTTACTATACTAAAAACTTTGGAACTTTGATTTAATATAGTGAAAACTTTGGAACTTTGAGTTACTATAGTGAAGACTTTGAAACTTTGATTTACCAAGTAAAAACTTTGAAACTTTGATTAAGTACGATAAATCCCGTGGAATTATGTTTTTGATTCCCATTCTTTACATTTTATGATATTTCAAGTTTAAGATTCATAAAATCTTTAGAGAACATTTTAAAAACCCGACCCCTCCCCTAAAAGAATACTGTACAAGATATGAATTTTAATGTAAAGATTGTCGCTTGCGCCGATAAATAAGCAGTATTTGTTTCAATGTATTTAATTTTAATGTTATACAGATGTAACGTAAGTCTTATTTATGGAGAAAAAAATAATATATTATAAAAAATTATGTCATTTAGAATCAAAATATCTGCTTCATCAGTTTCAGTCAACATAATTTTCTTTTAATTTATAAATGTAAGTATTACATTTGAATTAACTACATTCTATATTTGAATAAAGATGTACAAAAAAAACCCAGCCCCAACCAACCCCATATCCACCCCCTACCCTACAACGGCTAAATAATAAAAAAAAATTAAAAAAAAAAGTACATAAGTTGTTAAACTATTGAAAAAAAACTTTTAAAATTTGATTAAGTATAGAGAAAACTTTTAACAACATTGTCTTTGTTTGTAAGGCTCATTATATTAAATGTATTTTAGAGGAACTTGGATTTAATTCTACAAGTGGTAATCCAACTTATACTCATAGTTCCCTTTCTAAGGAAGAAATTCTTCAAAATCATATGTCAGTTTTGAATATTTTTAATATTCCAAACAACCAAAATGAATTCGAATTACCATATTTATATTGGATTCCGAAACTTCATAAAAATCCTTACAAACAAAGATACATAGCGGTTTCCAGTAAATGTTCAACCAAGCCTCTATCTTTACTCCTCACTAAGATATTAACAGTGGTGAAGGAGAAACTTCAAGAGTACTGTGCAACAATATATTCGAGAAGTGGTGTAAATCAGATGTGGATACTTAAAAATCCCAAGGAACTTTTGGAAAATTTGAAATCACAAGATTTTACCAAAATCAACAGCTTAAAAACTTACGACTTTTCAACTTTATACATAACCATTCCCCACGATAAATTAAAGTCCAGGCTTTTTGATATCATTGACAGCTGCTTTTTCAATAAAAATGGAACTCGTAAATATACTTACCTTGTCATTGGTCATTTGCAAAATTATTTTGTTAAAAAACATTCTGATTGTACACACAAGTACTCTGAAGTTGACATTAAAAAGATGCTTGAGTTTCTGATTGACAATATCTATGCTGTTTTTGGAGACCAGGTCTTCCAACAATCTATTGGAATACCTATGGGTACCAATTGCGCCCCGTTATTAGCAGACCTTTTTTTGTATTCATATGAAGCAGAATTTGTCCAAAATCTTGTACGTGAAAAGAAGAAAACACTTGCTGTGGCGTTCAACTCGACATTTAGATATATCGACGACGTATTGTCAATCAACAATGGTTATTTTCATTCTTATGTCGATACGATATATCCTGGTGAACTTGAGATAAAAGATACCACAGAGTCTGACACATCTGTTTCATATTTAGATATTTTACTTGAAAAAGACGTTAATGGTAATCTAACAACCAAGCTTTATGATAAACCTGATGACTTTAATTTTTCAATCGTCAACTTCCCTTACTTATGCAGCAATATACCTTCATCATCTGCATACGGGGTATATATCTCTCAGTTGATTCGGTACGCAAGAGCATGCTCTACGTATGTACAATTTCTAAAACGAGGTAAATTATTGACAAATAAGTTGATGAAACAAGAATATCAGCTGTCTCGTTTAAAGTCATCATTTCGTAAGTTCTTTGGTCGATACAATGACCTTGTCAGCAAATACAATTTATCATTGAGTCAAATGCTGACTGACGTTTTTTTATACTAATTGTTAGGCCATTATTTACACACTGAATTGTCGACGGATTTTTCCGTTATTTCCCGATCATGACAAGAAGCACACGGCGGGTGTGACCGGTCGGCAGGGGATGCTCACTCCTCCATGGCACCTGATCCCACCTCTGATGTTTGGAGGTCCGTGTTTGCTCTGCTCCTATTTTGTATTGTATAATGGACTTTTGAGCTTGAATACTGTTCGTTATCTCCATATATATCATTTTAAGCTTTAATTAACCACATTAAAAACTTTGGAACTTTGATTTACTATAGTAAAAACTTTGGAACTTTGATTTACTATGGTGAAAACTTTGGAACTTTGATTTACTATAGTAAAAACTTTGGAACTTTGATTCACTATAGTGAAAACTTTGGAACTTTGATTTACTATAGTAAAAACTTTGGAACTTTGATTCACTATAGTGAAAACTTTGGAACTTTGATTTACTATAGTGAAAACTTTGAAACTTTGATTTACTATAGTGAAAACTTTGGAACTTTGATTTACTATAGTTAACTATAGTAAACTATAGTTAACTATAGTTTACTATAGAATTCTTTTTGTTAGGGATAGTTCTTCATGTCCGTAGTACCGTTCACGGTAACTCAGTCGGTGGAGCGCTCGCTTCGTGATCGGGAGGTCGTGAGTTCGAATCTCGGCCGCGACTGACCTAAGTCGATAAAAAATGGGTAGCAACTGTTCCTTCGCCATGCGCTCGGCACTTTGAAGTGAAAGTTGCGGGTCCTTCGGATGAGACCTTAAAAACCGAGGTCCCGTGTCACGGCAGGCGTTGGCACGATAAAGATCCCTCACTGCTCAATGGCCCTGAGTGCCGAGTAAAGGTCAAATTTTGAAGCCCTTTACCGGTATATGGTGACGTCTCTATATGAGTATGAATATAAAAATTCTCGAATGGGATGTTAAACAACATGCAATCAATCAATCAATCAATCATGTCCGTAGCAAATACCGTCACCAGTCTAAGAGTCACTAGCAAACAGTGCATACACCTGTGCTTGCAAGACCAAATAGCCTTGGTCTACACACGTGCGATGAGATTGTCAATCGCATCTTCTCAGTGGCGAGCTCGGAAAAACACGTTGTTTTGTCGAGAAGTTACGATTGCATGTGTTGTATATTAACCATTCCGTTATTTAAAAAGAAACAGAGAAAACACACACACATACACACAAAATTGATCTTTTTTGTGTTTTCAAATTGATCGAGTTAATCGATAACCTAGCATCATTTTAGATAACTCGAGACCCTCTAGTGCCGAGACCCTATAGTGCTCGAGTACAGGGTCGGATCCAGCAGTTTTTGAAAGGGGGGGGGGGGTCTAGGTCACATCGCAGGCACTTTCATTCAAGCCCGTAGGAACGGTTTTAAAGGGGCAACCTCCAATAAGAGTTGACAAGCAAAAATAAATAACTAAATTAAAATAATAACCTGTGCACCACACTGTAAAATCCAATTGCGGGGGGGGGGGGGGGGGGGAGGGGCTTCGTCTAATTTTTCGGTATATTTTGAATTTTTTAAATCTTTCATTTTCCGTATTTTGAACCTTTCCGCAAAAAAATAGTGCGGGGGAGCTTCCAATGCAAATCAAAACTTATATAATATTATTCAAATTATAACAAAAAATTATTTTTTTAGCAAAAAGTGAGCCCCCTAGTTTCCCCTACAAACTACGGGGGCATTTTGAACCTTTCTCTTCATTGATTAAAATATCCCCATAATATATGGATATAAATATTCTCTTATGAAAACCCCCTTTCATGACTTTTTATGCATACTTATTAAAATTAGTTACTTTAGAAGATGGTCCAAAAATGGCATAGCCGTATGTTCGCCGGGATCTTCCGATGATATCAAAGTGAAATCTTTCATGTTACGTGTGGGTGGTCGAGGCACGGGGCCGGGGTTATGAAGGTACACGAAGGAAAGCATTAAGCAAAACTCTATCTAGAGAGCAGAAAGGGCAGAAACTGAAGTACTTATTTTATTGAAAATACTAAACATGAAAATATCTATTTATATTTCAGAAAAAAAAAATTCTCTCAGAGTCTCTCTTTTCCTCTTTTTGCAAAAATAAAGGGGGTTCAACACCCTCCCCCCCCCCCTCCCTGGATCCGCCAATGGAGTTAAAATTCAACCATTACGATACGTGCACGCTCATTAGCCTCTTTTAATTCTGATGTTAATTTTAAAGGCTACATTACAATTACATGTACAAGATACCTAGATCAACATTTCATATTCATATCATTTCAAGGTCATTATTTTTTTTTATTATTACAGCCTAATTAAGCAGACTTAAATAACGATGAAAATAACAAGATACATGTAAAAAAAAATTAAATTAAATTACACCTTTGTAAAGTCACTATTAAATCTAGAAATTTTCTTTGAATTTCGTTTAGAAACAGATGCATATGGTCCACGTATTGCAGTCCTTTTTTAAAGGACAGCAACTTGTCTCATTACAGGATGAACGCTGCATTCCTTCTCCTAGTCTGTCTTCCATTCTTGTTCGCTGATACGGTAAATGAAAATGCCGCTCTGGAAGTCTATAAGAGAATGACACCAGAAGAGAGAATGAACGGTATGCTGTTTTCTGATCAGAGTGTCTTTTTTTAAACTCTGATTTGACTTAATAAATGCAGTGACGTAGCATCGTTTATGAAAGTGGGGGGGGGGGGGGGGCAACCCGAGGAAAATTTTTTCGACTTACCTGAAAAAAACTTGACAAGCAAAAAAAAAAAAAAAGGAAAATTGTGCAAACTCGAAAATCCTATATCGTGGAGTGGGGGGTGGAGGGGGGGGGGATAGGTACCAACTTCTTCTAGTACATGTACCAATTTTTTTTTGCTCAAAAACTGCATTCCCCTTATATTACCCTTATTTGACAATACTGTAACCAAAAGTGGGGGGGCCAACCGGACTTTCAATGAACATTTCCTATAGAAAAACTTATGTCTGGAAAAAAGTGCCTGATACTACGTGCCTGGAATGACTACATCAAGGTTTCTTATCTACACTAGACAGAATTGCTAACGCACCACTTATTATTCTTATTTGTGAATTGATCGATCATTTTTCTGATTGGTACTAGTATATAAAATATGCCATCTTTTCCAAAACAGAGGATTGACAAATGTCTTGGTGTCATGTCAAGACCCTTAAAGGACCTTCTTGTCCGAAATCGAATGTCCCGACGTGCACTGCGCACCGTTTTTGCCAAGATAAGAAGTTGGTGATTACCGAAGGTAGTCCGTGAGGTTGCGACGGGGGCAGTCTCCTACTTAAAAATCAAATGCTATACCCTGATTGACTACCATATTGCTTAATAGTCATCCAGTGCCTTGGTGTCCCTACCAAATCCACCCAACTTCCGGTTGCCTCAATTTTGTGGAACAATCTTGAAGTTATTGTGTGGTGCTTACTTAATGCCGTCGATATCTATTGTAAACATTTTTATGATCGTTGATTCATTTTGATCAATTTTTCACCAGAGAAATGCATAATCTTTGAATTATTTTAATTTTTCACAAATTTCTTCAAAGGAACCCCCTGCAGTTACCATACTGGCTGCCTTAGCAGGCTCTTCTAGAGTCAAACGCTGCATACGGTGTAACTTTTTTTTTGAGTTTTTAATTAGTACAAACATAAAGAACACAACCACAAAGAAAAAAATTAGAAATTCATTCCACCCAAAAAGTATGGATATGATTTTAATTTTTTCTATGAAGTGGTTACGCTTCAGTAAACATTGCTGTTATTTATCAGTTAAAACACATTTAAATGTCCCATTTTTTAACGAAGTAACATAAATATATATCAAAAACATCATAAACAAGTTTTGAAAAGAAAAATGATAATTTATTTAGGTGGTGCATTAGCATTTTTGTCTAGTGTATATTTTTCCCATTCCTATTATAGTACATATAATATTTTTGTAGGTCAAGTTCAGAAAACAATGAAAGTATAGGGTGATTAATTTTTTTTTCCTTTTTTTTTAGAAAAAATTATTTTTCCAGACATAATCAAATATTATTGTCCTTTCATATAAAGTTCATGAAGCTGTAGCACACATCAAACAATGGTTTCACGATCATGGAACACAGCTGACCTCTGGTGCCTGTGCAGTGTTCTGTGCTACAGAAGCCGCCGTCACTCTAGGAATCGGTGCTCCAGTATGTGCTGCTGCTTGTGCTTTGTAAGTACTGAATGAAATACCTTTCAAACAAAAAACAAGAACAACACACACAGTCAAACTAAAACACACACACACACACACACACACACAAAAACAACATAGTTTCCAAGTAAAAAAAATATGATTTTCTTGTAAAAAGTTTTCGTAAAAAATAATCCTCGCAATTAAATAAAAGCAATTTGACTTCAACATACATATGTATTTTGACAGATGATAATTTTATTTTCTGTTGCTTTGCTGTAAACTTGAGCTGAGCACACACAGTAAAAAGTGATAAGAAGAAAATGAAAGACAACATTATGCTTTATCGAGTGCATTATCAAGTACTTTGAGTATTCCATGTATTCTATTTTTTATATTAACATAGCTATATTATGTAGAAAGTGCTAGAATGATTATCATATTGATATGACTATTAAAAAAATTGCAGTTAATTTATAGCTCAAGAATATAAATAATATTGGCTAACAAATAATATGATAAACAGGTTACGATAGTTCTTTTTTTTCTGAAATAAAGTTTACAAATTATACATGCGCCACTGTACTGTCATTAAATCTAATATATTATATTCGTTATAGGAAAATGTAATCCACAAATGTTTCTTATTTTCAGGATTGGACTGATTGGCTGAATCATGTGAAAAGAAATAAAATATTTTCTTTAAAGCACTAATATTTTTAATCAGAAATATTAAAAGGTATCATCTATAATGACTTTCCCATCAAAATACTACTGGGCGACCGAACATGACAGAGAGAGAGAGAGAGAGAGAGATATTAGAGATTCTATGCTGTCCTGTATTACAAAATAAACCAAGAAGCGACTTAAACACTTAAAATAAAAGCAAAGAATCATCAAAATATCTTGAAGATCTCTTATAAACCTGGACAATCAGCAGATGTCGTATTTATTGTTAGTAGCCACCTTCTACCAAAAGTGTGAAATGCAAAACCCTTGGGTCCAGAATTTGTTAATGAATCAACCAGGGCTTGCTAATTAATGATTCCTTTTATTGAAGACAGCTGATTGCACATCCTGTCCGGTTTTTATGTTTCAGCCATTCTTGGCAGCAAGAATATCAGCCTTTAATATTTAATTACTTATGCATTAAATTAGAACATTGATATAAAGTTCTGCCAAAATCATTTGCTTTTTATGGGGTTATAAATCCGTCTCCAAGTTAGCGGTAAAAAAAATAAAATGCACCTTTCAAGCGAAAGGAAAAAATAATGATTTTAAAATAGGGACAATGGAAGCTTGCAGTCAGAGAGTATATCTTATGATATCCATGAGTAAATCTGGACTTCTTTTGGAGAAAACTTTGGTCTTTGAAGTATTAACAGGAATTTTAAATCGTCACAAGCGATTCTTGGAGTTAGCAGCTTTGAAAGTTTGGTAATGGTTCAAATAATTAATAGTGTGGCTTCTAAGGATTTTTTTTTAAAAGAGGTATACTGTCTAGTATTCTTCTACATGCAGAAGAATTTATCCTGACCAACGTTAAGGACCCAGAAAATATATACAATTTCTTAAATATGCAACAACAAAATCCATTGCTGGTAAACAAAGCAAGAAGTTTTCATGAAGGAGAACGTTTCTTACATCATACGATCTGAACATTTTGTACCACAGAATTTGCTCCTCCATTACTAATACAATATGTACAACAAACTAAACGACACCTTTGTTCGTAATATTTTTTATCGTAGGCTTATACAACTTTAAAAATCATTCGCGAAAAAAGCACAGCAAGAATCGATAAATTCAAAGTTTCTTATCCTTGTTTAGCACAGTGACAAGAAATGGTTTAATTGTTCCATATCCTCTCTAATCTTGATGTAACAGCGTATCAGAATTCAGTCACAGACTAGAAATTAAACAGCTTTTACATCCAAATGGCATCAGACGAATACATCTAAACTAAACAGCAAATTTTCTTTTTTCGATAAGTATGCACTTTCAAATATATATTTTTTAGTTTATCACATTTTCAAAGTATTGACGTATGCCAGATTTGCAAGTGTGAGTTGCTCTTATAAAAATTCTAGAATCCATCATAAAAAAAATTACGTGATAAAATATTTTGAAAAAATGATTTATTGAAGCAAATGCCCTTTCTGATGAAGGCCTAAAACGATATGCAACAGCTTGAACCAAAATATCAAATCTACAAAACGGTTAAGACTCACACTGTATACCGACGCTACAACTTAACATTTTGAATTACAAATGTCTGATTGAAATACTTTAAATAAGGAATAACAAATTAGATAATACGTTAGATTTTTTTCTAATGTTAAAATTGGGGGTTGGTGGGGTGGGGGAAGGGGAAAAAAGAAAGTTCATCGAGTAAACAAAATTGAACTAGAATTGTCAAACCTACATATGAGAAGAGTAACTACAGTGTAACAAGAAGTGGATATTAAATACATGGTTTTTTCCCCTGAATTTACTGGCTCAATGTAAAGTTAGAATTATTATATATCTAAATCTACATACACTTTTGCAGTCAATATACTGGTAAAAAGAAGAGTATTTTTTCCATCTCCTGTTTTTTCCCTTACATTCTACACCATGAATAATTATTACTTTATAATAAACATGTATTTGATGAGAAACTCCAGAAGCCACATTTATGCTTGTTTGCAAATAGCAATCAAAGCAAAGAATTCAAAGCTTTAATGATGTTTAATGTAAGGTTTTCAATAAACGTTATTGGTTTTATCTACATGGTCATTTTGATAAAAGTTGTTCACTGAAATACAGATTATGCTGTGTCATTCTTAGTTCAGACAAATTTAGATTAGTTCAGGACATATATAAAGTCCGAGAGGAGAATTTTCTGACCAGTTCGTCTGTTGAGATAAACAAATACAGGTTAGTCGGATAGAAAATATCGATATTATCTTTTATTGGATGCTTTAGAACATTTCTTATCAATATTTTTTGGAGAAAAAAATCAAATAAAAAAAATTATAATTCGAAATACCTAAACTTTTCGGAGTCAGTTAAAAACAAGTTATAACTGAGGGGTAGTATTATTAACTATGATTACATTCAATGATAAACTAATGCTTCTATTGAAATAAAATGCCTGACAGTCTGCCCCAAAAACATTTCGGAAGAAAATCGTAGAAAGACAGTAGAAATACAAAGAATAGAACAAATCAAAATTGTTACAAGGAAAATTAATAAAATCATTCGTTTTAAATTCTGCCCATGCATATTTATTAGTTATTTAATTTTATGCGAACAAAGACAACGGATATAAAGTACCGGGTAAACAATGGTAACATTTAAGAGAGCAATAATGAAGCAATTGTTACAATTACATTTAAAATTTGTCTCAATATTTAAATTTGTGGGTGTACTGATCATTTGTTCTCAAATGAAGTTTTTACCTTTGGAAATATACAATGACCTTGTTAATGATTTTTATTTTCAATTATAGTATGTATTTCGTCAGTAAGAATGCATCATTCACAAAAACGCAACAAAATGGTAATCAAAGATTTAACAGGACTAATCAAACCAAGTGTTTTATTAAAAAGAAATATGAAATATTTCTATCAATATTTTTTATTCAAAATATGTTAAGCTAGTTTTCAGATTTTAAGTGACCGTTTTAAAACAAGCCGGTAAATAAAAGTACCACCCCAATTGAATATTCTGTAAGAAAAAAAACTACCCTCATTTTAAAAGGTTCTTCGAAATAATCAATAGATATCGTAAAAATAATCAAAACCTAAATATTACGATAACTGATGGAATATTAAGATCTGTACTCTATGAAATAGATAATGAAATATTTTCACAAATGAGAGAGAGAGAGAGAGAGAGAGAGAGAGAGAGAGACGGGGCACTGTTTCCTTGAGTATAAGTTCGATATGCAGCAGCTGTGAGTAATTAATATTTTCAAGAAATTCTGAAAAATAAAAATAAAAAAGTATTTTTACGAACACAAAATCATTTGATAAACCAGAGGTTTATAAGAAAGATAAAATTAGAAATTAACGTCTTCTGAAGTTACTGTAATAAAAGCAAGACCTTTATTCAGGAATAAAAGATTGAAATCTATAAGATACAATAAATCATACGTGGCTGTAACAATAGTACATTGCTTAGGAATTTGGCTTTCTTTAACACAAGATTTAAACCATAATTACCGTATAAATTTCAAAAATATTCAATTTAAGGATGAATGCTGCATTTCTTCTCCTCGTATGTCTTCCATTTTTGTTTGCTGACACGGTAAATGATCATGCCGCTGCTCTGGAAGCCTATAAGAGAATGACACCAGAGGAAAGAATGAACGGTATGCTTGTCTTTACGTCCTTATTATCTTTGTTCTTTAGGATTTCTTTATTGTATAAGCTAATGGTTTTTGACAGATTAGGTAAAGTATTTTCATTATATATATATATATATATATATATATATATATATATATATATATATATATATATATATATATATATATATATATATATATATATATATATATATATATATATAAACAGTTCACGAGGCTGTAGCTCACATCACGAACTGGTTTCGCGATCATGGAACACAACTGACTGCTGGTGCATGTGGAGTCTTTTGCGCTACAGAAACCGCCGTCACTCTTGGTATAGCTGCTCCTGTATGCGCCGCTGCTTGTGCCTTGTAAGTTCTACAATATTTATGTGGATTTTTTTTTTCATTAAAAAATTGTATTTTCATTAAGGAGAAAAAGCCTGATTGATACTATGGTAAATTGTTGACAATTTTAAACTCGATTAAGAATAGAATGATGTAAGGTTTAGACATAAGAAAACAATATGCAAACAGTATTTTTGAGCTGGACTTCATTCTGTACATGTGCATCAGAGGCTATCATAACTAGCAGGTTTGAATTTCGAGAAAAACCAAGAAAAGATAGAATTGAAAAAGAAATGTGCTGGTGTTTATAAGTACTACAAGCTTGATTTATCTTACATATTGTTTATATCAAGTTGAAAAATCTTTAAGATATGCAAATGAAAATGATTCAATATGATAATTGTTTGTTTTATACTACGCATAAAATGCAAAAACAGTTATTGTCTTATTGTCTTTTTACAGGATCGGACTCATTGGTTAGAATCGGGATAGAAGATGAAAGAGGACATTAAAAAACTTTTATAAGAAATATATTTTTCTATTTTCAGTTCTAGTCAGACTTTTCTTTCGTATTTAGTTTTCATTTTTTCTCTCTCACACAGAGAGAGAGAGAGAGTGAGAGAGAGAGAGAGATCATCGTCGTATTCTTCTAGACTATGGCTTACATCTATGATAAATCAATGAACATCATTCTGATTAAGCTTCAGTTGCTAATTGCTTTATAAATAGCTATATAAAGACAAATATTGTTTATTTTTCTCCAGTTATATTTACATTGATCTGGATAGATATTTTATATTGTAAACTTGTTTAAAATATATGCATGTACGTCCTTTAACGGTAGGAACGGTACAATGTTACTTTCAATGCGACAACTTTTGAAATTGCAAGTCAGAGTACTTCTTTTGTAACTAAACAAGTTCTTTTTAAGCTTCACTCTTACTCATATTGAGCAAATAACACGTTTCCGACCAAGAATAAGATGCGTGACGCCAGAGAAAAATGATAAAAAAAGTGAACAATT